TTTGCCTTCCCCCTACCTAAAACCCACCTGACTTGTTAACATTTCAGTGCTGGACATAGTGCAGTGTGGTCCAAATAGCATGGCCTAGAGCGATAACCTAGTACGAAGACAAGATGCTGTAGAACAATAATGTTACATAGTTTTATTTTAAGCCTTGCTGTTTAGTCTTGAATCCTATTTTAGGTGTTCCTTGTCATGAATTCTGGAGAACTTAATTATCTTTCTCTTCTCCTTTTACTGAGAAAATGGTGCTTCATTTGCTAATAAGTTATAGACTATTAGGCGTTGATTCAGAAGGCTATTGAATGTGCCTCACGAAAGATGTAAATAAAGTGAAATTGATGGTATTTTTTAAGTACAGTGATATTGACTGCATCTTCAGTTTTCAGTCAGTTTGCTGAGAGTAACATCTGGGAAATGCTACACATGTATAACTTTTTTTTCTCTCTGGATATGAAAAACTTTAGATTTCTCTCTAGATTATCCTTGTCACTGGATATATCTTTACATTTACTGGTTACATAATTACCTTTACTGCTGTATAGGCAAATCACAGTCAATAGGTAGTTTTGAAGTTTAAAATATTGGGAGTACTAGAATGTTCTTTGAATATCAAGTTTCATTATAAAAGTTCATGCTTTGATCTCTCTGAATACTTCAGAAAACATACACTACATATTTGTGCCCGGGCCACAAGAGTAATGCTACAAGGCAGGAAGATAGCACGTACATTTTGTTTACTTTTAGTTCAAATGACATAGTTTGTTTCTTAATAAGTTTAGTATTTCGTGCTCTGTATTTTTTGGTCTGTCTGCCTGGATTTAATCTTCAAATAACTTTGGTAAATCATAAGTTCTGAAAGTGTGGTAGACTTTGGGTTCTGATGTGTCCTACAGGTTGGTTTGCAGGGTCTTTTACTGGAAAGATTTCTTAGACAGCTCTTCAAAGATTTTGAAATTAAAATTAGGATTTTTAATAATCTAAAAATAATAATCTAAAAATTATTTAGAAATGCACAGTAGTTCACTGATAGAAGTTCACTTGGTGCACTGTACCTGCAGGACGTCTTCTATAGTGCAGATCTCTGCCCTCCATTAGAAAATTTCTAATGCTCAGATTTTGAATCCTAACTTCCTAGCTTTGTGAAGATAAAAATCCTTTTCTTAAATTTTTTCTTCCCCTGCTTTGAAGTTGTTCATCTGGAAGAGAGCTTGTACCAGAGCGAGAGCATTTGTTGCTCATCAGGTTTCTTCAGGAGTTTTTGGCAGGACAAGATTCCAGGCTCTTCTCTGTGTGGTGTGCTTACCTCCAAAACTCCTTATCCATTATGGTTTAAAATACTACATATCAAGTACAAGAACCGTGTTGTGAGATTTTACTGAGGCTCAGTGTCTTTAATTTGTGATTTCCCTTTAACAAGTTCTGTGAGTTGCTAGCAATTCATACAACTTTTTATTTTTAGTACCTTGGAGCTTTGTTTTAAAACACTATTTGGATAATGTTTTCTCAGCTGTCAGGTATATTTGCATATGTAAAATTTGATACTCTGAAAGTGTTAAAATTGCCTACAATGAGAATTATCCAGCCATTTTAGAACGAAAAAAGTTTGCATCCATCAGATGGCTTTGTTTTGAAATACTAATTGCATTTAGGCTTTTATGACTTCTGTTGTAGAAATATATTTTGTTTGTAAAACTAACATTAGAGGCACAGTTTAATAATGAAATACAGCCTGTATACAGCTGTCAGGAGCTCCGTCTCTGGTCCTTTTGCCAGCCAAAGGCGCATAGTAAAGCCAGATTGAGCAGAACTGCTCCTTGATTATGCCCCGGGGAGCAACAGTTACAACTGGAGCTCGACTTCTCCATGCTGAAGTATATGGAAATGCTTTTACAGGAGCTACCAGCAAGTAGATCATTGCAGGTGAGTGAGAGCGCATGGAAGGCGCATTGTAGGGGAAGCAAAGATAATGCTCTGTTTTCATGAAGTGCTGTCAATACAGACTTCTGGTTTGGGATCTTCAGTGTAAGACATATTTCTGAAAATGGAAGGTCCCTAAAGAGCACTCGGAATTTTTATGGTAAATCCTAGGGAAATAAAAGTATAAAGGCCTAAAAGGATGGGAAAAAACTCTAGTTTCTTTAAAAGACAGTATGAAATTATCCAGCTTATATTTATTTAAAAAACAAACAAATCCAGAACAAAAGAGGCTCAAATGCATTATCACTTTAATAGAATTCAAACAGATCCTTTTCAGCCATTAATTTTACATGTTTATAGTATTGTGCTCTTATTTTGGAACACTATACAGTAACTGTACAGCAATTTTTAGTTTATTGTAACATAAACCATGAAAAGACTGGTTAAGAGCACTCATGTATCAGTGGTTTCAATCAGTTCCATGTATCTTAAAAAAGGCATTTTTCAAAAAAAGACAAGTTTCATGTGGACTGTAAAAGTGTATAAAACTATAGTAGTGTAGAGTTTTAATCCAGAGTTAGCAATATTTTAAATGTATGAAAAAATATTCTTTCCTTAAATAGGCAAAGTAATTTGGCAGTATTGCCAAGAGCATTATTTAATGTATCCTCTAATATACACAGCACATCAGTAGGTTGAAAGATTTGCCTTTGCATTTTTTTTCTGAAATTCTATTTGCACGTTTTAGGAGTTGAGCAATAACTTCTACAATTACCCATAATTCATACTCCTTAATAATGAATTGTTTGGTAAAAATAAAATCAATTTATCTGAGTCACCGGTTCCCAAAGTACACAGTTGTTAGGGTTTGTCTAGATTTTTCTTGATTAGGAGATTCTGCGTAAATGAGCAAATGTTCACTTTCTATTTTTACGATTGTATTGCAAATGACTTTATTGTTTCAAATGCTTGTGCAGTATTTGCATATCAGTGCTGCATTGTAGAGCTATTGGGTAGTAGCATGAAAGTCTTGCCTGTTTCTTCAGATTTGAAAGTGCAGCAACAGAACCATTTTTATTTGCAAAGCATATATTCACTCTTAGTCTATTTTCATGATTCCATACTCACATGTCAGTGTTGATCTGATCATGCTGTTCAAAAATCTGCCAGACATTTCTAATTTAACATTACCTGTCATGTTGCAGGTATCCTAGATATTAACCCTTGCCATTTACCCTTCTATGACAGCGTTTAAGTAATTTCACTTAATCTGGCCTTTGTGTTGGTGGTTTTCCTTGCTCAAAATCTTGATGCCTGGTTCTATTTAAGATAATGAGAGTAAAAGCATCAGGAATCAAAATGTATTCTGGCTCAGCCCATATGCTGAGCGGGAGGGCTGTTTCCATGGCAACACACCGGACAGTAAAGGAGAAAGCTGATGCCTTTTCCTCAGATTTGGAGAGTTTACAGATCCAAACAATTACTCTTAGCAAGAGTCACTTAAAAGTCAGTGTTTATAGGAGAGGAGGAAATAATGTTAATGAAAATGGGTTAATATGCATCCATATTTTTCTTGTGATGGTTTATTTCTTTGATCATGGAGATTCATTAGTGCAAAACACAGCTTTTTGGCAAATGCTAGAAAAATGTACTGACTATAGCAGCAGTGATCTTGGACACATTAAATGCAAGGTGTTCTGACATTCGATGGTGCTGCAAATGCTGCTGGACAAAACCTTTCTATACCCTTTAATGTAAGCTGCTTTCTTCTGGGAGGCTACATTGTTAAATACAGTTGACATTTCCCTAGGAGCAAGTTCTGGATAAGCAAAGGGTAAACAGTTAACCATTCCAGAGATGATGAAGTGTTGCAAATAATTTTTTTTTCTTTTTTTACAAGTGGCAGGTTTTCGAGCAGGTAGTATGCTAAATTGGTCTTTCATTACTATAGTGCAGCTGTGTCTCAGCCTCGCCCATTTTATTTATTATAGGAACCATAGACTGGTATATCTTCTGTGCTCAAGCTTATAGATAAATCTTTCTTCCCTAAGTGGGTGGGGAAAACATTATGTTCTACTCTTGGAATATATTGGGGTTCTTTCACGGCACAGTATTTTGAATTGAGACTATTTAGTCACTAGAGATGAATTTCTTTCATGACTAAAAATACACAAATCTGAAATTATAGAAAAGAGGAGTGCAGGCCCTGGAATATTGTCTGCCTGTCTAATTTTTTTAATGAAGGATTGGAATAGTGACAAGTACTGTGTGTGGGAATGAATTTATTTGCATGGAGATTTTTCACCTTTTCATGTGGCGTTGGGTCTCAGAAAATGATGTCATCTTGCAGCTCATTGGTTGTGCAGCACCTAGTGCAGGGAAGGGAGAGAAGGATGCCGGCACAAATCTCAGTGGTGGATCTAGGGTGTTTGCAAGCAGATTTTGGTAGAATCTTTGATTAGCATTAAGAATTTACTTCATGTGGCCGGCCATGTGAGGTGCTGGGTCTGTCCTAGGGTGAGGGGATTGAAGAGCCATCTGAGGAATGAGGCGACTGATCTGCAAGAGGATCTGTGATTGTAAGTTGAAAAATCTGGGTGGAAGGGAGACAGAGAATGCTAGTTAGACACATTGTGGGAGGATGTGTAGCTGAAAATGCAAGCATGAGTGAAAGAAGAAAAAGGAGAAGCATTTTTCTTTGGTAGGCTGGAATGATAAAAATTATATTAAGGGCTTTCCTTTTGGGGAAACATTAAGAAATTGTTAAAAAAAATTCAGACCGTGCAAAGATATTTTTCTGTTCTGGAAATGAATGTGTAGGATTCATTTTTATGCTCAATTCTACTGTTGTTAATTACGAAGGTAAAATAATATTTTTTAAGAACTTGAGATGTCGAAAATGCTGTTTATCTCCCATGGTCACTTTATTCCTAGGTCAGAGATAGGACAAACTGATAAATACTTGTTTTTATGTACGCATTTTGTGAATTTCTGTGAAATGCAAAGGAAAATAGTTGGTTAAGAAATGAAAATGCACCCGTTCTAATAGCTCTATTTTTATTTAATGTGTCTTTTTGTAGACAAAAGCTTTGATGATGAAGAGTCAGTGGATGGAAATAGGCTATCATCAGCTGCTTCAGCCTTCAAGGTTCCAGCACCTAAAAAGCCAGGAAATCCTTCAAACAGTGCAAGAAAGCCGGGATCAGCTGGTGGGCCTAAGGTTGGAGGTAACGTAAAGCTATTCAGATTCTGATCAGTGTTCCCCGAAAACCTTACCAGAGCGGGCATAAAACAGAGAACTTTAGAAGGTGATGTTTAATTCATGACTGCAGTATTTTTGCAGAGCTGAGAAGAGTAAGGGACCCTGTTTTATCTAATTATTCATCTGTAAAGGTGTGTGCATGTCTGTCTTTGTGAGTGTGCACTGAGCTTAAGGTTTCTCATATTATAAATGAAATTAATGTCTGGAGACAGCATTTATGTTGGTGAAATGAATACATGTATATGTAGGGGTGTCTCTGCTGAAATCCACACTGTACTTATTGTGTATATAAATATTGTGAAATTCATCTACATCTGTGTAAATGACATTTTAATGTAGGTCTGCACTGTTTCACATGGCTAGAAAGGATCAGCCATCACCCAGAGCCCTCATCAGAGGTGTTTATTACATCTGGATGACTTTTATTATTATTCTTTTAACTGTCAGTATTGTGAAATTGGTTGTGAAAGACAAAAAATGAGGGCCAAAACACTTGGCAGGATTTTTTGCATGGCTTTATTTTTTTATGGCTTCAAAGCAGTGTAATGAGGAATGCTTAGTAATTACGATCTTAGAAGAGGGAAATCTGCTTTTCTTAGGGCGGGGGTAGTCTTAACAAAAGCAACTGTTTACTGCTAAAGAAGTGGCTGCATTTTTTTGATGGTTCATGTGCACATTCAGAAAAAATACGTAATTCTATGGAAATGCACCATACTTCAGGTACAAGGTTTTTATGAATAAGTGATTCTTTTAGGGAGGGGTTCTTGTAAGAGTAGTTTTTCCATGTTCCTGTTCATGTAATATGCAAAGCAAATATAAAATTTGCAAGAAGATACACATGACGAACAAGCTGCCTTAACTATTTTCAGATTACTAAGATACAGCTAATGTTTTGAAAATTTATTGTTTTTCAATTGTGATCTTAAGAATTCCTGATGATTTGAAAAGATTTTCACAGGGCTGGATCAACACTGTCATAGTGTAACTGAGAATTGGTAGCAATATATAGCAGAATAGTATCAGAGATACCACCTAAAAGACTCCATAAAGGAAATTGTCTCATTGATATTTATTATTGTTATTATTGCACACAGTATTATGCATAATTAAATATAAATAAATAACTAATTCTAATGTAATCTACTTAAACCTGAAGCATGGTGGTTTTTGCATGCAAGACTAATATACATAGTACCAGAACTGAATGCTTAGGATTCCTGTTTATTTCAGTATAGGCTTATAATAATATTTTATTAAATATAGATGGTTTTTAATGTAATTTTTTTTTACATGTAGGCTTTCACTTTACATGCTCTGCAGTAAAAGCATGGAGATACAAGGTGAAAGGAGATAAGAACAGAATAAGTGCTCACTGATTTTTCAGTTTATCTAAAAATACAGTAGTAAAGCAGATTAAAACCCCCAAAACTATTACATTGTTTTTTCTCCTTTTCCTATATTGCCAAACTTAAAAAAAAATTAAGCATGCCAAAACCAGAGTACTTTAGTCATTCCTTGCTTTATACCATCTCCTTTCAACTGTGGAAAATATTGGGGTGTGTTTACATACCCATCTATTTACCTTCTTTTTTTATTCTTTAGGGTCTCTGTAGTCAGAATTGTAATGTAGTGTTTACAAATCCTGCATCTCCTAGCCTAATCAAGAACATTAGCGTAGATACCAAATGCATTTCTAAAGCAATAAGATCATAGTCTCTTCCAGAAGTGAGGAGTTTCCTGTAATAATAGTCATATGAACAATGACTCTAGGTCAGACAAGAGGTCTAGGCAGTCCACTGTCCCATCTGACAATGGTCAGAAATGGCTACTAGAGACAAGTACAGGGAACAGGAGAAGTGTCTGTCATTATGGGACAAAATGCTGGGTTTAGAAAGCTTTATTCCACAGAGAGTCATGGTCTTGGGAGAGTCCAGTTAGGGTATCATGTTCTGCTTATCTAGAGACTTCCAGAATCTTTATGACTACAACAAAACCTTGATGCTCTTTCACATTCAGTTTCTGTAAGATCTACTTTGCAGGTGCCTAAAGGACACCTGAGATTTTTCTCCAGCCTCAAAATTGCCATCTCTATGGAGTAAATTTATAGTTCTGGAAGTTGTTTGCTCTTTCTGATGTAGTAAGGTTCTGCTGTATACTCCAGTCCCAAATCCTTGTTCTCACCACTGCATTCCAAGTCAGCAATCAGTGGGCGTGCCATTTCTCGCCTTTTCCTCATAAGCACTGGATGAGTATTTCAGGCTTTCATTGGTCACCTCGTGCTTCTGCCACCTGTTTGTCCTGCTTGTCTGTTTTTCTGACTCTCAAATACCCAATAACCCATATTCAGAAGTTGCAGTTCAGCCCTGGAGGAAGATCTAGAAGCAGCTCCTTTAACCTGTGTTGCTTTTTATTGCCCTTTGACAAAAATCTCCAAAGTCATGTAGATGATCTGAAGTTGAAGCAAGTCTTTCACTGCAGTTTCTTCTCTTCAGACTTCTGTGACCAGGCAGAATTTAATGCAGATAGAAACTGTGTTGAGCAAAGGCTGATATTACTGCAAGTTCCATTCATTTAAACTGCCTTTTATATTTTAAAGGATCCCCGAGATCCATTTCAATGGCTGTTGCTTGAACAAAGATGTATTTTCCTATGAGTTGTAGGTGGCAAAGGTTTTTTTCCTGGGTCTAGAAAGGATTTGAGGCTACCCTGACTTGAGGCTAAGAAAATTGAACTCCTTTGCCATGCTGCTGGCTTTCTTATCTGCTGACACCTGCTGAATTATACCTCAGATGCCTGTGCACTTGGCTTTTCATTATATACATGATGGAGATGGTTCTTAATGAAGAAATGGGTAATTCCACCACTGCCCAGATATGCTGTTCGATGAAAGGACTCCTCTGATATTAAAAAAAATAATTTCTCACGGTTGTGGACATTTTCCTTTTAATGTAGATAATGTACTTTGGTGGCAGTGGAAGTTCAACATCATCATCATCCAGGAAGGCAGGTGAAACAGGTATTTATATGAGCAATTGCAGTGTCCTACTCAGCCTGGAATTCTCTCTCCTTTTGCTGGGAATGATTGTGCCAGACATTTTCCTATTGGCAGTTGGGATGGGAAGGCTTGTAGAACTTGTGGATTTGCTGACAGGTATGCTCAAGCCTACTGAAGACAGCTTGCCAAAAAGGTACCAGATCAGGCAGCCACAGTGGTTTACTGCCCTGGGAGTGAAGAATCCAGCAGGCTGTTTCTCCTCTGATTTTTCTGCTTGGTGATGCTCAGACACTGAGCTTCTTGTTAGTGATGAATGAGAAGTCATAGGTCTTCCACTTAATGGGACAGTGCTTTGGCATATTTCTTATTCCACGGTCCATACACTTTGCCAAGTTAGGCCTTTGCCAACAAGCACACAGCTGATCTACTTATTTCTGATACATTTGCTCTCAGCTCTTCATTCAGGTGGTAGAGCTTCTGGAAATAACTCTTTGCTCTAAAGCCTTCTTACTGAGCATGTGCACTCTGTGTTCTGCCCTTGCATGAATGGAAATTCAGGGGCTTTTTCTTGGCAGTATGGCACAAGCAGCTTTTTAATCATAAGGGACACCATAATTTACAGTATAAAAGGACTTGAGTATGTCAGCCAAATGAGCTATATTCCTATCGCTGTGCTGTTCAAGATCTCTTCTATGTCTTTGACAAGTTCTCTTGCAAATGTGAAAGCCCTGTTCCAAGTCTTCCAGGGAATTGCCTGCTTGTATACCATTTGGAAGGGTTATGTAATCTAAGTGTTAGTAGGGAACCTCGGGCTGCCTCAACGAGAAGTCTGGCATCCTCTCTTTTCCTAAAATGTCAGTTTAGGTCAGTAGTCTAAAATGAATTAAATGTAGAAATGGTGATTATTCAAAAGAGCCATTTGGCCTTTGGAAGAAATTCTTGCTGATGAAATATAATCATGACAGAAACATTCTTTTCTATTTTGTTATGAAAACCTCCGTGGGGCTATTCTTAACGTTGTAATTTGAAACAAGGTGAACTTCATACTTTTTGCAGTGTTTTCAGCAGGAAGTAACTGTATGGTGCTTTTAATCTATAGTTCATTGGGTTTTTTTTAATCTTTAGTACAATATTATGAATTGATTATTGTTTTACACATTGTTTACATGAGAACATATCTGTAGAAATCAAGTAACTGGAAAACCTGGTTGAACTAGGTGAACAGTTTGGCAGTAGAAGGCTATGAGAATTATAGTAACACTATACATGAAGGAACTGTAGGAAGCTGTTCCCAGCTTTAGGAAATTTTAAGTTAGGTTTTTGCTTTTTCCCCTTCTCAATAACAGACATAGGTCTCTTTGTTGAAAAGTATTAAAATGGTGCTTATTTGCTGTTTTTGTCTCAACTTCAGCGCAGAAGACATTTTGGAGCCTTTAGAGGCTTTAGTAGGAAAAAGTTTAAATGAAAAGGCTCTGCATAAAGCAAATGTGAGACTGAAAGATAGGTGAAATCTCAGCCAGTTGAAGTTAACCTCATTAAAACTACATGCTGTAGTTAAGAAATATTCATATTAAAAGGGCTTCAGTAATTGTGGAACTGTAAATACACATTGTTAGTGAATGGACTTAAACAAGATAGACTCATGCTCACTGTATCAATTGTCTCCAGACTCAAGAGAGTTCTGTGTTCATTTGTACAAAAAAAACCAAAAAAGAATTCATAATAAGCAATGCCTGCAAGGGGTTTTTTTGTTGTTTTTTTTAAATTTTGAATTCTGCAGAAAATAAGTTCAATAATATTTCCTCTATTATTCTAGTTAGCCCTCATTAAGTGGTTTCGAAAGTGCTGTATTTGTTGTGTAAAATAAACCAGGATTTTTTTGTTTTCCTTGTTCTACCCTGGCTCTTTGTATGACATAAAGGTGCTCTGAGGTAATATTAGCCAGCAAAGCACCCCTGACATTCTGTGGC